AGTCCGGAGTGTGGGAACTGTTTATGACGATTAGATTAAGGTATCTGCAATCTTAAAATGATATGGGAAGGAAGGAAAACAGGTCCGCGACATAGGAAGTGGTGAAGGAAGTAGTCAAGGCGAGCTGTTGGAGTGTGGGAACTGTTTATGACGATTATATAAGGGTATGGGCAATCCTAAAATGCTATGGGAAGGGAGGGAAATAGGTCCGTGACGTAGGAAGTAGTGAAGGAAGTAGTGAAGGCGAGCTGTCCGGAGTGTGGGAACAGTTTATGACGATTAGATAAGGGTATGGGCAATCCTAAAATGCTATGGAAAGGGAGGAAAACAGGTCCGCGAAGTAGGAAGTGGTGAAGGAAGTAGTCTAGGCGAGTTGTCCGGAGTGTTGGAACTGTTTATGACGATTAGATTAAGGTATCTGCAATCTTTAAATGCAATGGGAATGGAGGGAAACAGGTCCATGACGTAGGAAATGGTGTAGGGCGTAGTAAAGGCGAGCCGTGCGGAGTTTGGGAGTGGATTTATGTATCTCCAATACTAAGGTACTTTCAGAGTGAACTAATGATTTTCCCCAAGCAAAGCTCGGTCCCCAGGTACTTCCCACAAATTGACCTATTTTCAATTAAACTGGACAGTATTCTAGCCGTAATATTGCGTTGTATATGAAGGTCAACAATAATATTCCTTTTCGTGGCAATCAGAATCCTACCAGTGATTAAATCGTATCCGGGTCTTTTCTTTCTGTTTATTTTCTTTTGTATTACTTTTAGAACTTCAGACGGTATAAGGGTGGTATAGGCAAAGATAATTGGTTAGGTGAATCCAAATATTCAAAAATATCACTCTCGTCATTTGGTTGATTGGGTATTAAGGGTTTCAGTACATTTGAGAAGTAATTTGAAAATATACCTGTTTTTCCAAGTTATTTTTCCCCCAAGTGCCATAATTTTTCTTTGTCGGTGTAACATGTTTACTGGACGCTTCACGTACTTCGTGGATTTCCATAAGGAGTAATCTGTAGCTTCAGTTAGAGTTTAATTGTTGGTGTAGTCGGAAAACCATATTTTTTTTTTTAGATTGACTAAACATTGTTTTATAAAGTTTGAGCTGCACGATAAACCTATTTTATCAGCTGGATTTCAAGTATTCTGCAACAATAACAGTAATAACAACAACAAATAAAATAATACAACACAACACAATAAAAAATACAGTTCAATTCTTTTTATAGAAATGTGTAAATGTTGTATGATTAGTGTAAGAAAGGGGATTAACCCCGTACCCACGGTGCTCATCTATGCAGACACTCGACCAGTTGGTGTGAACAGAGTTGAACAGTAGCATGAGCATCGATTTACAAATTCCTTTCCCAGCTGATGTGAGCTAGGCGATGACCGGTAGGGCTGACTTCCAAGAAACATCGTTAACCTATAAGCCACACACCCTATCGGTAATCAGCCAATGAGAAGGGCTAATGAAGAAGATGGAGGGGTGACGAGTCTTGGAGCTGGAGGACCTGGAGAGGACAAGAGAGGAGATCACCACGGGCCACCGGAGAAAGAAGATCGGGAGTTTGGGAGTGCGTGTATCGGTGCGTGTGCTTCTGGGACAATTAACAGTATGTAAAAAGAATAAAATATATAACTAAAGTTTTGTCAAACATACAAGTCATGTAATTTGTCAGTAACTAATCCTTTTAAATTTTCTATTGATTCTCTTTTCTTGTAAATTTAACGTTGTAATTAATTTATCTTATTTTTGTTGATTTTTGCCTTTTCTAGTTTTTCTTTTGCTGTTGTAACACTTTGTAACTTTTGTTGTTTTTCTAAATTTAAATTTTTGTTCATTACACGTTGAGTAACACCCTTAAGCAGTCTTATGTCTCATTAACCTAACACCTCTTCACTAAGCTAAGCGAGTGTATCATTTTAGGAAATTTAAACTTAAAGTGAGGCATGGGACTCGCATTAGATATCATACTAAAATATAGGAGAAGTATTACTTCAAGGTTTAATCCTGTTAACACTAGGCCAATGTACGAGTTGCAGGGGTAATTAAATAATTTGTGATGACAGGATTCTATCATCCAAGGTCCAGGGTACTCAACGTATGTAATATAGACTGTGAAATAATTAGTGTTGTACGGGTAGTGATGAAAGCGTGATGATTGATGATGACAGGATTGTATTACTGCCAAGTCCCATGGCACTCATTATCCTACTAATATTATAAATGAGAAAGTTTGGATGTATGGATGTATGTTTGTGACAAGTAAACGCAGAAAATACTGGCCGGATTGGGCTGAAATTTGGTGTGATGATAGCTCACATTCCCGATTAACATATAGACGCATTCTTATCTCAAAAGTCCGTTCGGGCTCCGCCCCAGTGGTTCTGGAATTTCCCATGTTAACCTTATGAGTAATATTTAAAACGAATAAAAGAATTTCGTCAGCTGTTTCAAATACACAAGTTGGTTCTGTGATATTAAATTCGCATTAACAAGTTATAAAGTTTACTGACAGGGTACAGTACTATTAATTTAAATGAATATATAGAATAATCCATAGCCTATATCGATATTTTTCATTGTTATAAGTGTAGGACAGATACTAAAGTGCAGCCAAATTTTGTTTCTAAAAGTGGTAGCCTATATGTGTAACTATTTTATACAACAAATGTAAAGATCAAAATGTTTGTATTTTGTGTCCTCTTCCCGTTGCAAAGCACGGGTACAACAGCTAGTGTACACATATATGACACAGATTGTAGGATGATTATATTGTTATACAGGTAGTGATGAAAGCGTGATGATTGATGATGACAGGATTGTATTACTGTCAAGTCCCATGGGACTCATTATGTACACATATGTGACACAGATTGTAGAATGATTATAGTGTTATAAAGGTAGTGATGAAGCGTGATGATTGATGATGACAGGATTGTATTACTGCCAAGTCCCAAGGCACTCATAATGTACACATATATGACACAGATTGTAGGATGATTATAGTGTTATACAGGTAGTGATGAAGCGTGATGATTGATGATGACAGGATTGTATTACTGCCAAGTCCCAAGGCACTCATAATGTACACATATTTGACACAGATTGTAGGATGATTATAGTGTTATACAGGTAGTGATGAAGCGTGATGATTGATTATGACAGGATTGTATTACTGCCAAGTCCCATGGCACTCATAATGTACACATATATGACACAGATTGTAGAATGATTATAGTGTTATACAGGTAGTGATGAAGCGTGATGATTGATGATGACAGGATTGTATTACTGCCAAGTCCCATGGCACTCATAATGTACACATATATGACACAGATTGTAGGATGATTATAGTGTTATACAGGTAGTGATGAAGCGTGATGATTGATTATGACAGGATTGTATTCCTGCCAAGTCCCATGGCACTCATAATGTACACATATATGACACAGATTGTAGGATGATTATAGTGTTATACAGGTAGTGATGAAGCGTGATGATTGATTATGACAGGATTGTATTACTGCCAAGTCCCATGGCACTCATAATGTACACATATATGACACAGATTGTAGGATGATTATAGTGTTATACAGGTAGTGATGAAGCGTGATGATTGATTATGACAGGATTGTATTACTGCCAAGTCCCAAGGCACTCATAATGTACACATATATGACACAGATTGTAGGATAATTATAGTGTTATACAGGTAGTGATGAAGCGTGATGATTGATTATGACAGGATTGTATTCCTGCCAAGTCCCATGGCACTCATTATGTACACATATTTGACACAGATTGTAGAATGATTATAGTGTTATACAGGTAGTGATGAAGCGTGATGATTGATGATGACAGGATTGTATTACTGCCAAGTCCCAAGGCACTCATTATGTACACATATTTGACACAGATTGTAGAATGATTATAGTGTTATACAGGTAGTGATGAAGCGTGATGATTGATGATGACAGGATTGTATTACTGCCAAGTCCCAAGGCACTCATAATGTACACATATATGACACAGATTGTAGGATGATTATAGTGTTATACAGGTAGTGATGAAGCGTGATGATTGATGATGACAGGATTGTATTACTGCCAAGTCCCAAGGCACTCATAATGTACACATATATGACACAGATTGTAGGATGATTATAGTGTTATACAGGTAGTGATGAAGCGTGATGATTGATTATGACAGGATTGTATTACTGCCAAGTCCCAAGGCACTCATAATGTACACATATATGACACAGATTGTAGGATGATTATAGTGTTATACAGGTAGTGATGAAGCGTGATGATTGATGATGACAAGATTGTATTACTGCCAAGTCCCAAGGCACTCATAATGTACACATATATGACACAGATTGTAGGATGATTATAGTGTTATAAAGGTAGTGATGAAGCGTGATGATTGATGATGACAGGATTGTATTACTGCCAAGTCCCATGGCACTCATAATGTACACATATATGACACAGATTGTAGGATGATTATAGTGTTATACAGGTAGTGATGAAGCGTGATGATTGATTATGACAGGATTGTATTACTGCCAAGTCCCAAGGCACTCATAATGTACACATATATGACACAGATTGTAGGATGATTATAGTGTTATACAGGTAGTGATGAAGCGTGATGATTGATTATGACAGGATTGTATTCCTGCCAAGTCCCATGGCACTCATTATGTACACATATTTGACACAGATTGTAGAATGATTATAGTGTTATACAGGTAGTGATGAAGCGTGATGATTGATGATGACAGGATTGTATTACTGCCAAGTCCCAAGGCACTCATAATGTACACATATATGTGTTGTAAGAAAGACTTAGTAAACCAAAAGTATGGCTTTTATTCATTCAAATTTACAACCATGTTTTAGTTAAGAACAAATACAATATTTACAAACAAATCAAATAATAAATATTATCAGGTGATAATGTTCACATCACCACATTCTCCCCCACTAGTTTTCAAGGTAGGTATAGCATACGTAATCCTTTAGATATGACGGAGGCTTGACATTCCTCTTTGGACGTAGTTCCCCCACAGCCGTCTCTGAAGTTGGGGTCTGAGATACCGTTTGTTGAGTTTCATTTTGAACTTCATTGTGGTCAATGTCTGAATTTATATTTTCAACAATCTCTCTCTCATTAGTGTTGTCTTCATGAGGTAGATCACCAGGAGGTAGGCCAGCGGGTGCAAGATGTCTCAGGGATACTTGTGATTCTGACCCATCTCTTCTTCTGACGAGAGCGTACTGTGGATTTGATTCCAAAAGTTGAACTGGCTCCACAAGGTTATCATATTTATTAGATCTTACAAACTTTCTAAGCAGGACAGGACCAGGAGCGGATAGCCAAGATGGTAAGGAGTCTCCATTGGTAGATCTTCTGCTATGTATAAAGAATCTTTCGTGCGGTGTGCAGTTTGTCGCAGTGCATAAAAGAGATCTGACTGAGTGAAGTGCCTCCTGTAATACTTCTTCCCATGCAGCAACTGGCAGGTTGTGGTTTTTTAAAGCTAGTAGGATGGTTCGCCATATTGTTCCATTGAAGCGTTCAATCTGAGAGTTCCCTCTAGGGTTGTAAGGTGTCGTATGACTTGTAGCTACTCCGTACTTGTGAAGAAAGTCCGTCAGCTCTCGCGACATGAAAGATGAACCTCTATCTGAATGTACAAAGGACGGGGCTCCAAACATAAAAAATAGATCTGAAAAACATCTGATAACTGTTGCTGAACTAATGTCCTTACAGGGGTAAGCAAATACAAAACGAGAATACTCGTCCACCATGGTTAAAAGGTAACGGTTTCTGGTTGTTGATGGAAGAGGGCCCTTGAAGTCAATATTTAGACGTTCGAAGGGAGTGGTTGCCTTTATCAATTTGCCTTGGAATTGGTGAAATCTTGGCTTCACTTCTGCACATGTTTGACAAGCTGACGTCATCCTTTTTACATCATCCAGAGTGTAGTTTAGATTTTTAGTTTTAATCCAATGAAACATTCGAGTGACTCCCGGATGGCAGAGAGATTTGTGTAATTCAAACAACTTAGCATTGTCCCAGCGAACCGCACATGTCCGAGAGAGCGTATCTGCTTTTACATTCTCCCTACCAGGTCGGTACACTATTTCATATTGATAAGGTGTTAGCTCTAGTCGCCATCTCATAACTTTATCGTTCTTGATTTTGCTTGTATGCCTCTTGTCAAAGATAAATGATAAAGCTTGCTGATCCGTGTATAATCTGAAGTCTCTTCCGATAAGAAATGATTTCCATTTTCGAAGGGCTTCGACAATGGCAACAGCTTCTTTTTCAACAGCTGAATACAGCTTCTCAGATTTGTTTAGAGTCCGTGAGAAAAAAGCAATTGGCCGATTATCTTGACTCAAAGTTGCTGCCACGGCTATGTCAGATGCGTCAGTCTCCACTACCAGTGGCTCTTGCCCATTCCTAGGAGTAATTACTGAGTTTGCAATGTCAAGTTTGAGGGCTTCAAAATCTGCAACCGCTTCCTGTGACAAAGGAAAAGAATTGACTTGTGTCAGGTTTCTTATTTTATCAGAAAATCGATGTATCCATTTTGAATAGTGAGCGAAAAATCCTAGGACTCGCTTTAGTGAAACTTGGTCTTTGGGCACAGGAAGTGACAGTAGAGATTCCAGCCGATCTGGATCAGGTCGAATAGAGTTATGGGAAACTAAATGTCCCAACAAGGTTATTGAAGACTGGTTGAACTTGCTCTTTTCGTTGTTGATTACAAGTCCATACTTAGTTACAGCATCTAAAAATGTTCTTAGATTCTCATCATGATCCTTTTGATCCTTTCCACATACGGTCAAATCATCCAGATAGGCATACACTCCATTCAGTTTTTCTTTTCTAATGATTTGGTCCATGGTCTTTTGAAAACATGCCACCCCGTTGGTTACGCCAAATGGGATTCTTCTGAATTGAAAAAGACGACCAGCAGCCTCAAAAGCAGTGTACTTCTTCTCTTCGTCAGAAATTGGTATTTGATAGTATGCTTGCTTTAGATCAATGGCACTAAAAACCTTGTTCGTCGCTACAGTGGATACTAGATCATCTATGTTTGGTAAGGGATAGGTGTCTAACGGAGTAAATTTGTTTATCGTTTGCGAATAGTCCACACACAGTCGCTTCTTCCCTTTGTCGTTTGTAACAACCAACACTTGTGCACGCCAAGGCGACGAACTAGGTTCAATGATCTCCTCAGTCTGTAGTCTTTCCATTTCTTGTTTTATAAATTGCATATCTTCATCTGAGTAACGTCGTGATTTTGTGGCTATTGGCTTACAATCTGGAGTTAAATTGCAGAATAGTTTGGGTGGTTCAACTTTGGCACAGGAGCACACCAACAGAGGAGGTTTCTTACCTCCAAACCAAACCTGTATATTTGAGTGGAGTTTCATGATATCATGTCCGATAAGCACGTCAGTACAAAGATCTTCAAGAACAGTCAACTTAAAATTGTTGTAATTGTGATTCAACAGATTTAGGTTGATTTTAACAAACCCGTGGACGTTTGATTTCATATTAGAAGCAGCTAGTGATACTTGTCCACTTTCATTATACATTTTAATTTTGTTTAACTGAACAAACTTCAAGTTTACAAAGCTTGATGTACTCCCGGTGTCTATTAAGCAATTTGCTTTCAGGCCATTCACTTTAGCTTCAACTGTAGAGTCCTTCAATACAGATGTATTATGTGTAGTTGCTATTAGTGCAGCTGATGTACTAGACGTCTTCTGTTTTACTTTAAAATGTTGAGTTGGATTACTTTTACAGACTCTCGCATAATGCCCTGTCTTGTTACATTTCCCACAAGTTGCTTCTCTGGCTGGACAGCGATCTCTAGAGTGTCTATCATGCCCACAAAAATAACACTTGCCATCAACATTTTTAATAGCGGAAACAGTCGCTTCTTCCTTTTGTTGTAGTGGGAATTAGTACTGACAAGCTTGCTTTGCCAATTCATTCGTTGCACAAGTTTGCATTCCGTACATAGATTTTGGATAGCTCTCGACTTGAGCTTGAGCCATTTCAAGAGCTCTAGACTGTTCCACTGCTTCAGCTAGGTCTAAAGTTTTATTTTCAAATAGTCTCTGTCGTATGTATGACGAGGCTAAGCCATTGATAAAAGCATCACGAATGTAATGATCCCTGTATTGAATCGCATTAACAGCTTCAAAAACGCAATCTTGGCTCAAAAGTTTCAGTTCCGACACATATTTGTCAATAGTCTCACCTTGTTGCTGTTTTCTAGTCATTACTAAATATCTTGAGAATATTTCATTCTTTTGTTTGATGTAAATTGAGTTAAGAACTCTCAAAGCGTCTTGGTAAGTTTCAGATTCCTTGATAAATTTATAAGTAGTAAAAGATAATCGATTAGTTAGTAGTTTCAGTTTGTCCTTGTCTTCAACGAATTCTGTCATGGTTAGAAAGTCTTCGAATGTTCGTAACCAGTGCCTCCATTCCTCTGAGGCAGTTGGAGATTCCGGGTCAATTTGCAATTTGTCTGGTCTAAGGAATTTCTCCATTGTAATGTAGCACTAACTGAGTTTATCAATGAATGAATAAAATTGTTGTAAGAAAGACTTAGTAAACCAAAAGTATGGCTTTTATTCATTCAAAATTACAACCATGTTTTAGTTAAGAACAAATACAATATTTACAAACAAATCAAATAATAAATATTATCAGGTGATAATGTTCACATCACCACAATATGACACAGATTGTAGGATGATTATAGTGTTATACAGGTAGTGATGAAGCGTGATGATTGATGATGACAGGATTGTATTACTGCCAAGTCCCAAGGCACTCATAATGTACACATATATGAAACAGATTGTAGGATGATTATAGTGTTATACAGGTAGTGATGAAGCATGATGATTGATGATGACAGGATTGTATTACTGCCAAGTCCCAAGGCACTCATAATGTACACATATATGACACAGATTGTAGGATGATTATAGTGTTATACAGGTAGTGATGAAGCGTGATGATTGATGATGACAGGATTGTATTACTGCCAAGTCCCAAGGCACTCATTATGTACACATATTTGACACAGATTGTAGAATGATTATAGTGTTATACAGGTAGTGATGAAGCGTGATGATTGATGATGACAGGATTGTATTACTGCCAAGTCCCAAGGCACTCATAATGTACACATATATGAAACAGATTGTAGGATGATTATAGTGTTATACAGGTAGTGATGAAGCGTGATGATTGATGATGACAGGATTGTATTACTGCCAAGTCCCAAGGCACTCATAATGTCCACATATATGACACAGATTGTAGGACGATTATAGTGTTATACAGGTAGTGATGAAGCATGATGATTGATGATGACAGGATTGTATTACTGCCAAGTCCCAAGGCACTCATAATGTACACATATATGACACAGATTGTAGGATGATTATAGTGTTATACAGGTAGTGATGAAGCGTGATGATTGATGATGACAGGATTGTATTACTGCCAAGTCCCAAGGCACTCATAATGTACACATATATGAAACAGATTGTAGGACGATTATAGTGTTATACAGGTAGTGATGAAGCATGATGATTGATGATGACAGGATTGTATTACTGCCAAGTCCCAAGGCACTCATAATGTACACATATATGACACAGATTGTAGGATGATTATAGTGTTATACAGGTAGTGATGAAGCGTGATGATTGATGATGACAGGATTGTATTACTGCCAAGTCCCAAGGCACTCATTATGTACACATATTTGACACAGATTGTAGAATGATTATAGTGTTATACAGGTAGTGATGAAGCGTGATGATTGATGATGACAGGATTGTATTACTGCCAAGTCTCAAGGCACTCATAATGTACACATATATGACACAGATTGTAGGATGATTATAGTGTTATACAGGTAGTGATGAAGCGTGATGATTGATGATGACAGGATTGTATTACTGCCAAGTCCCAAGGCACTCATAATGTACACATATATGACACAGATTGTAGGATGATTATAGTGTTATACAGGTAGTGATGAAGCGTGATGATTGATGATGACAGGATTGTATTACTGCCAAGTCCCAAGGCACTCATAATGTACACATATATGACACAGATTGTAGGATGATTATAGTGTTATACAGGTAGTGATGAAGCGTGATGATTAATGATGACAGGATTGTATTACTGCCAAGTCCCAAGGCACTCATAATGTACACATATATGACACAGATTGTAGGATGATTATAGTGTTATACAGGTAGTGATGAAGCGTGATGATTGATGATGACAGGATTGTATTACTACCAAGTCTCAAGGCACTCATAATGTACACATATATGACACAGATTGTAGGATGATTATAGTGTTATACAGGTAGTGATGAAGCATGATGATTGATGATGACAGGATTGTATTACTGCCAAGTCCCAAGGCACTCATAATGTACACATATATGACACAGATTGTAGGATGATTATAGTGTTATACAGGTAGTGATGAAGCGTGATGATTGATGATGACAGGATTGTATTACTGCCAAGTCTCAAGGCACTCATAATGTACACATATATGACACAGATTGTAGGATGATTATAGTGTTATACAGGTAGTGATGAAGCGTGATGATTGATGATGACAGGATTGTATTACTGCCAAGTCCCAAGGCACTCATAATGTACACATATATGACACAGATTGTAGGATGATTATAGTGTTATACAGGTAGTGATGAAGCGTGATGATTAATGATGACAGGATTGTATTACTGCCAAGTCCCAAGGCACTCATAATGTACACATATATGACACAGATTGTAGGATGATTATAGTGTTATACAGGTAGTGATGAAGCGTGATGATTGATGATGACAGGATTGTATTACTGCCAAGTCCCAAGGCACTCATAATGTACACATATATGACACAGATTGTAGGATGATTATAGTGTTATACAGGTAGTGATGAAGCGTGATGATTGATGATGACAGGATTGTATTACTGCCAAGTCCCAAGGCACTCATTATGTACACATATTTGACACAGATTGTAGAATGATTATAGTGTTATACAGGTAGTGATGAAGCGTGATGATTGATGATGACAGGATTGTATTACTGCCAAGTCCCAAGGCACTCATAATGTACACATATATGACATAGATTGTAGGATGATTATAGTGTTATACAGGTAGTGATGAAGCGTGATGATTGATGATGACAGGATTGTATTACTGCCAAGTCCCAAGGCACTCATAATGTACACATATATGACATAGATTGTAGGATGATTATAGTGTTATACAGGTAGTGATGAAGCGTGATGATTGATGATGACAGGATTGTATTACTGCCAAGTCCCAAGGCACTCATTATGTACGTATATGTGACACAGATTGTAGGATAATTATAGTGTTATACAGGTAGTGATGAAAGCGTGATGATTGATGATGACAGGATTGTATTACTGCCAAGTCCCATGACACTCATTATGTACGTATATGTGACACAGATTGTAGGATGATTATAGTGTTATACAGGTAGTGATGAAAGCGTGATGATTGATGATGACAGGATTGTATTACTGCCAAGTCCCAAGGCACTCATAATGTACACATATATGACACAGATTGTAGGATGATTATAGTGTTATACAGGTAGTGATGAAGCGTGATGATTGATGATGACAGGATTGTATTACTGCCAAGTCCCAAGGCCATCATTATGTACGTATATGTGACACAGATTGTAGGATAATTATAGTGTTATACAGGTAGTGATGAAAGCGTGATGATTGATGATGACAGGATTGTATTACTGCCAAGTCCCATGGCACTCATTATGTACGTATATGTGACACAGATTGTAGGATGATTATAGTGTTATACAGGTAGTGATGAAAGCGTGATGATTGATGATGACAGGATTGTATTACTGCCAAGTCCCATGGCACTCATTATGTACGTATATGTGACACAGATTGTAGGATGATTATAGTGTTATACAGGTAGTGATGAAAGCGTGATGATTGATGATGACAGGATTGTATTACTGCCAAGTCCCAAGGCACTCATAATGTACACATATATGACACAGATTGTAGGATGATTATAGTGTTATACAGGTAGTGATGAAGCGTGATGATTGATGATGACAGGATTGTATTACTGCCAAGTCCCAAGGCACTCATTATGTACGTATATGTGACACAGATTGTAGGATAATTATAGTGTCATACAGGTAGTGATGAAAGCGTGATGATTGATGATGACAGGATTGTATTACTGCCAAGTCCCATGGCACTCATTATGTACGTATATGTGACACAGATTGTAGGATGATTATAGTGTTATACAGGTAGTGATGAAGCGTGATGATTGATGATGACAGGATTGTATT